CAATATGACTTCAAAAATTCACTTTGACTTCAACGACTTCAATATGGCTTCAAAGACTTTAACTTTGACTTCAATGATTTCAACGACATCACTTTGATTTCAAAGACTTCACTATAACTTCGACGATTTCACTTCTTCACTATGACCTCAACGACTTTAATATAACTTCAAAGACTTTTCTTTGACTGCAACATGACTTCAACTACGTCACTATGACCTCAACTACGACTTTAACAACATTGACTGACTTGACTGACTTCAAATAACTTCTTTGACTTCAGTTCTGACTTATACTTCACTGACTTCAATAACACTATTGACTTCAGATTGACTACACTGACTTCGACTTCAACTATATCGACTTCACGCCGACTTTCTTGACTACTTAGATTAACACAAAAATACTCGACTTGACTTCACTATTATGTCCGTTGTTCAAAATCATTTATGGAGGCGGTCCGGGTCACATTCTGGGGCAGTTGCGTGTTATCTATTTGCTGTACTTTCAGTTTCACTAATTCTATCGCTGTGCTTTTGTTCTTGACATGTTTTACTATCTTGACTATCTTGTTTTCTAGCTTATCCTCTACAAATGTTTCAACTTCTTCTCCTGTTTTGTCTAATGGTATGCCCTGTTTATAGCATTGAAACTCTGCCTCCATGGTTGTGTATGTGTGTGTGTTGAGGAAAGTCAAAATAACTAAGGCAACAGTGCGTAACAAAAGAATGTGTAAGGCAGAAAAACCGCTGGCACAAACTATCCAGCACGGGTATAAACCCAAACGTTTAAAAAAAATGATGGAAGGTACTTATCTTTTTGGACATGGTGACTGTTCCCTTGTATTGGTAATCCACTCGTTCCGGTTGAAGAAACCCGCTGTTGTGTTGAGTTGAAGAAAGCTGTACACCAGATGTACTCCGTCATGAGTAGCTGATATACTTTCTTTCCTGTCCTCGACCCGCGCTTCGTCCCGAGCTCCACCAGTTGTGAGGGTGGGGATGTTTATGAAGGCGGAACGAATGAATCCAATAACACACAGTTCAAGTTCCAAATACAAAGTTCTTTATTCATATGTATATAATCATGTTCTACCTAACTAGCTATACTCCCTACTATTTACTTCTACTACTGACTGTTCACTATACCACTAACTACGTACTCCCATGATCAATCCTAACACTAACTACCGTTCTCTAGCTCTACATATTACGACCGTCTCTGACCGCTTCCTAACACCTTCTGCCCTCGCTAGCTAATCATGATCTCCTAACTATCTACATTCTCGGCCGTCTCTGGCCGCTACCTCACAACTCCTGGCCTATCTCTCTACTGCCCCACGCCTCAGTGGTCAGCTGACCGTCCCACGTGACCGGTCAGCCCTGTGCGCCCATTGGCCTCTCTAACCAACCAACTAGGCCTATAGTCTGTTTCTGCTAACCTATACCTGCTAAACATGTCTGACGTAATCTTGCGTCATCACAGGGGGTTTGACCATAGGGAGTTTAACCACAGGTGCTTTGACCATAGGGGGTTTGACCATAGGGGTTTGACCATAGGGGTTTGACCATAGGGGGTTTGACCATAAGGGGGTTTGACCATAGGGGTTTGACCATAGGGGTTTGACCATAGGGGGTTTGACCATAGGGGGTTTGACCATAAGGGGGTTTGACCATAGGGGGTTTGTTGTCCACAGTGGGGCTGTAAATTTAAAAAAAAAACAACCTCAAATTACACATTTTAAAATTGATAAATTAAAACAATAATCTATGTTTTAATAACTTAATCAAATAACCCATCGGCGTTACTGTAAAATTATTACTTCACGTGGAATTTACGACTGTGACAAAAGTGCAATAAATGTGTGCTTCTAATCCACATGTAAATAGCCCATATGTATGCATACGTAAGCCATTTATCAAGCGTGTAGGTTTGTGATTTAATTTCCTTCTGATAATTTTGCTTTAACTACACAGAAGAAAATAAAAATAAAAAAAGCTTTTTAAAACTACATGAGCTTATAACCTATATATCATGGACTATATGTTTATTGATTTCTTGAATATTTGAAAACACTAAACACAACAATATTTTTACGTTTTTAATTATATTATCAATTTTTAAAACATTAAACACAAATTCATTTTTCAACCCCCGCGCGAATTAAATAGACAAGCGACGGACCAGCCGAGGTAATTGTTTTCTGTTTTATTTTTGCGCTATTGATTACTGATAACGCGGCAATTTTCAGCAGAGGACGAGATAGTGAGTCGGCTGTGTCACGTGATCGGCCCGCGCGCCTGCTAAAAAAATTGGATTTTGTACGCGGCACAAATCCATTATTGAAACAGTTTATGAATCAAGTGAAAGGTAAGCGCATCACTTTGTACTAATAACATATTACACAAAAATAATCTGTAAATGTCAAAACGTACTTTTAGTGAAACTTTTTATTAATTCCTTACAAACAAATTATTTGGAGTGTTTAATGTTTGCTGTACGGACTAAATGACTGAGGATATGCATATTTTACTTTAAATAAAATGTATAAAGAGGTATGCTGTTTATGTTGGAAACTATTGCGGTGTGTGTTAAGGATGCTAAAGAATATTAATATGTAAGTCGATATATACAAGTGTATTCATATACTTATCTGCAGAGTTTCTTCCAGGCATCTCTTCGGGGGGGCGAAGCCCCCCCGAAAAATTTTTACCGCCCCCCCGGACGAAATGAAATTTATATAATTTATATAGAAAATATATACTTTTAACAGTGTCCGCCCCCCCCGAAGAAAGTCTACCGCCCCCCCCCCCGAAAATTTCAAGTGCCCCCCCGGAGAAAAAAGTCTGGAAGAAACACTGCTTATCTGCGTGTTAGAAGCAGGATGTAGTCTTTGTTAAAATTCTCTTACATTCTCAGAGACAAGAATTGTGTTTGAGAAATTACTGTATAGCTTGTTAATCGCTAACATTTTGTCATTTAAGACTTAGAATCGATGGTTTAAGTTGAGGTAGGAAGATGAAGTTTCAAAATTGTAAAGTTAAGACCAATATAGACAACAATTGCACTCTCTCTCTCTCTCTCACACACACACACACACACATATACATATATATATATATATATATATATATATATATATATATATATATATATATATATATATATATACATACTTTCATAAAAATAATACAACATAGATGTACGTATACATTATCATAGCTGTTGTCTTTATGCCACATTTTAGTGGCTAATTTAATATCTAGACTAAAATTTATACACGATCTTTGTAAAGGAACTTTGCTCTATATGGCTCATGGACTCCTACTTCAGCCTGCTTTTGTTCACTGATTTGCTTCCATAGCCTTTGTCCAGATAAGAACAAACTACAAGGCAAAAGTTGTTTGAATTTAGAGTTTTCTTCTACTAGAAGGGTTGCTGTTCCCAGCCAATGTCTTACTCGGGGTCCGAACTCGGGAATTTTAGAGTTAGGCAGCCACGAGCTCTCTCGTCCGACAAATCGTCACTACCAGTGTTTCTTCCAGTCTTTTTTCTCCGGGGGGGGGGGGGGGGCACTTGAAATTTTCGGGGGGGGGGGGGGCGGTAGACTTTTTTCGAGGGGGGGGGTGTGGGGCGGACACTGTTAAAAGTATATATTTTCTATATAAATTATACAAATTTCATTTCGTTCGGGGGGGGGGGGGGGTAAATTTTTTTCGGGCGAAGCCCCCCCCCCACCCCGAAGAGATGCCTGGAAGAAACTCTGGTCACTACTTCGCGGATTTTTATTTACAGCTATTAAGTTTGGGCATAGAGTTCTGAGATTATACACGTCATGACGCAGACTGCTTAAAACAAAATGAAAATGACAAAAAAAAAAAAACAAAAAAAAAAAAACAACAACAATAAAACAGAATGGGAAGATGGTGGTGTTTCAATTCCGATAACTACACCCATGAGTTTTAAACGCGTCTATTTATAGAACGTATGACCAGGACGAAATCGAGCACAAAGCAGAACAAAACGACCCAGCTGAGATTAACCAAACAATATAATGGAAACTTGCATCCACCCACCTTTGGGAATAAATCCCGTAAATTAAATTACTGTCTGCTGCTACGAATAGATTTAGAAGCTCTCGTCTGAACATGAAGCCCGCGGTTATCGCCCGTGGGTCGTGTGCGGTCGTTAAGGGATATAACTCTGGTTAACGAATAAAAAATATATTGAGATTGCTGTCGAAGGGGACATAAGCGATGAAATATGCTTTTGTGAATTGAAGAGTTATTCGTTTACGTGTGATGGATCAAGTTTTGAAACTGGAATCGCCCACACAATCAACTGTATGTTTAAGTTATGAGAGTATTTCTGCATACAAAAGAACAGTTGAAAAATACATTTTGTTATTAATTTTGGTAATACTAGATCTTAAAGTTTTTATTTTCAATTTATTTAGGTCGATATTTTTTCAAATTAAATTTAAATTTGGTTGTGTAACACGGCACCGACACATTGGGTTACATCGCATGGATTTCTCTTTGTGTGTGAGCGAGGCTAACTAGGCAGACGTACTATATGAAAGGGGAGGTAAAGTTAATTTTATACTGCATTAAACTTTTAACCATTAAAAATGGTTTAGTTATTTATTACTTAAAAGTGTATTTTGACAATATTTTGTGTCTCTTTTGATATTTTTACGAGTCCTTGTAATTTTTACAAATGACACAAAGATAATGAAATAGACTTTAAAAATATAGTGTGTTACTTTTAGTTCGAATAATGTTGGGTCATCATAAAGTATTGTTTCAACTAATTTCTCTTTGACATCAGCACTAGCCATCACAGGAACCTTATTCTAAAATACTTAACTCTCACACTGACAAAAAGTAGGTGACCCTCTCCTCCCCAACTGTAGGTGACCCTCCCCTCCCCAACAGTAGATGACCCTCCCCTCTCCCAACTCAAGGTAACCCTACCAGCACTACCTTATTTTTTGCAGACGATGCTACTACACAGATTTACCAGCACAAAGACAACATCACACCCGAGCAAGCAAGCAGGTCCTACCACAGCAAGCACAACATGCAGGACGACTGGTCTAGCGACAACTACAACAAATGTCACCACCAGCACCTCCACAAGCACATCATGCTGGACCACTACATTTAACTCCTTGTTCGGATTCGAACTCAAGAGCTTAGCGTCCTGTCCAGGGTTGGTGGCTCTACTATGTCGGCCAGCAGACCCAGCGTGTCTTGGTGTTAGCCGGATTTTGTTTGGTAAACTTTTCATCGTGTATTTTTTAACATAAAACACTTGTTGATTATCTAGATAAGTTGCGGTACGTCTAAGTACCGTAACACAAGCCTGAATGATATTATTTTTAAAAATACATTTCCATAAACATTCTCAAAGGTGTTATACCATAAAATGTATTCTTCTTTTGTAAAATAGTAAAACCACTGATTAATTTATTTGCTATGATTCAGGATCTCCGATAAATATAAAAACCTAAATTTTGCTCTTACTCAATCGCCAAACCTTTACGCCTAAGATAAGTAGATTTAAGAGACCTCAATATCACCAACGCCTGATTTTACTGTCCAATCTATAAGTCATGTATTTCAAGAATAGACAGAATAGTCTCTCACAGAGCAACGGGAAGGATCCAGAGAGCCAAAGTTAATTACTTGCAACTTTCACTCGACATTACAGCTCAACGATCACGAAAAGCAATTACACTTCGTCAAAAGACCTATTGTTGAAACGTGTCTATGGCCTTAGTGTCGGAAAATGTTAATATAATTATAAATATATTCTAGCTGAATCAACGATATACCCCAACCAAGACTTCGGAATCCACAATATAATATAGTGTCGACCATTTAGCCAACAATGTCGTATATCTCGAAAGTTGTCTACTATCCTTTAAATACCAACGACATAACAACAGCAAGTCTTTTGGGAGTAAAAACAATATCTGGTCACAACAACTAGCTGCTAAAGGTTAAACTTCCATTTCACAGATTTTCTAATGGCGATAGTAACGACTAACTGTTAAAGCTGCACCTCACAGGTTTTCTGATGATAACGACTAACTGCTAAACCTCCATCCCACCGGTTTTCTGAAGGTGCTGGTGACTACCGAAACCTCCATCCCACAGGTTTTGTGTAACGACTAACTGCTAAACCTGCTTCCCACAGGTTTCCTGATGGTACTGGACGTGTTCACTGAACGCGGTATGAACGTCCTTGACATTGAGTGGGACGAGTCGACCTTCTGCAGGTTTCCTCTGTTTCCTTTCCTACGCCCTCTGCCCGTGAGGTGGATGTGTGTGGTGTATATCATTATGTTTTCTGGTATGTGGTACCTACTTTATTACACTCTCTGTATGTGGTATACATGGTTATGTTTTCTGGTGTGTGGTATCTACTTTATTACACACTCTCTTTCTGTGTGTGGTGTATATCGTTATGTTTTCTGGTATGTGCTATCTACTTTATTACACAGTCTCTTTCTGTATGTGGTGTATATCATTATGTTTTCTGGTATGTGGTACCTACTTTATTACACACTATTTCTGTATGTGGAATACATGGTTATGTTTTCTGGTATGTGGTATCTACTTTATTACACACTCTCTGTCTGTATGTGGTGTATATCTTTGTTTTCTGGTATGCGGTAACTACTTTATTACACACTCTCTGTCTGTGTGTGGTGTACAATAAATGACATCGTTATGTTTTCTGGTATGTGGTATCTACTTTATTACATACTCTCTGTCTGCGTTTGGTGTACATCGCTATGTTTTCTGTTATGTGGTAGCTAATTTATTACACACTCTCTTTCTGTACATTTTTTAATGTATGGGAGCTTCCATTCAAGAACATCACACGCCGGGAGGAGGGGGGGGGGGGGTAAAAAATTTCGTGACACTTGTGACGATGGGGATGGGTGGGACGGTTCAGAAAGTGTGACGATATATTTATCATTAAAAAATAATGTTAAAAATTGCATTTTAGCCATTATATCGAGTTTTTAAATACTGCTCTCCTAAATTCTAATAGAAATTTATTTATAAACTCAATTTTCAAAAACGCGCTGCAGTGTGGCGTTTTTTAAAAAGGGAGGACAGTCTTGCATTTTGCAACGATGTGTGACGATGGGGAGGGGCGAGGTAAAAGTTGTCCAAAAACGTGACGTTATTAAAGGATAGTCGCTACATTGTTATTATTGTCTGGGAATTTCATATTTAGCATTTCTGTTTCATTATAAAAGAAATAAAAGTATCAACAAACGTTATTTTTATTTCAAACTAAGATTGGCGTCTCTAGGCCTGGAGTTACCCTGTGCAGCCCCCCCCCCCCGATGATGATGATTACTAATATTGTCATGTCTATCCCAGGTGCTTGTGGGATAATGCTGGGCTACAAGTATCGCTACAGCTGTATCATGTATCTACTGACGTACTGGTACATTTTTATCCTGGATAAAACTCGCTGGAACAACCACAGCTACCTCTTCGGGACTTTGGCCTTTCTCTTCACTGTGTCTGACGCCCACAGGTTTTGGTAGGTGACGCCGACAGGTTTTGGTAGGTGCTGTCAAAAGGGGTCTACGACAAATTCCCGAAAGACACTTGCCCGAATGCCGTTTGCCCGAAGGTCGATTTCCCGAATGGACACTTGCCCCAATGCGACAAATGCCCGAATGGCAAGTGTCTTTCGGGATTACGTTCGGCTCCCTGTCAAAAGGCGTGTTTGTTTCCTTTTTGCTAAATTGCCTATGATGATATTGATTGCTAGGCCAACTTATGTACATATGTATGTATGTTGATTGTTTGTATCTGTTTCAGTATTCTATCTAATCAATTAAGCCAGATAATAGAAAATTCCATTGGAAATTTAACCAAATGTATTAAAAGCCACATATTGTGTCCAAATATAGTTCCATAGATGGATACCGTCATGAACGAATGAACAACACACACGTGCCACTGTGGAACTACACACTACTGCGGACACAGGTAGTGCCATCAGCATTAATTGATCAATTAATTAACAAAAAACAATAATTTTTTAAACACCGCTGAGAATTCGACATTATAAGTAGAGAAAAAGACCTACATTAAACGGCACAATTTTTAAATGTTTAAATTTTAATAATTACTTGATTTTGTGTACATTGATCTGAATGTCATTCTGACTAAAGTTAAGCTGGCTTAATTAATGAAGCTTAATTTGTATTTAATTTGAACTATTCTCAGATTATACTGGTATACTTTATTGCTGGTCTGAAGAAATTAAACCTTGACTGGATTTATGGCTACTCTCTAAAAGGCTACTTCACCGAGCTGCCAACAGTACTTTCATATGTCAGGTACTCACATTAACATCACAGTACTCACCTCCAAATGACAAAACGAAATGCAACAATACTGCATGACGATTAATGAAATGCTAAGCAGCTAAATTATATTATGTAACGTCTATAAATCCCCTTCACAATGTATAAAGTAAGCTTTGCTACAGTTAAAAGGTTGCTTTTAACTTATTATAGCTACTTCCTAAGCGGACCACAAATCGCATTGGGCATCCACATTTGCGGGCTAATCATAGACTTGTTTGTCGGGTTTGTCTTGTTCTTTGATGGAACAAGGAAGCTGGGCTTGTTGATTTCGATGACGTTTCACATCCTTAACTCCATTATGTTCAACATTGGTAAGTTGGTGTTGGTTGTAGGCTTATGTAATCACTGGTAGGTTGGTGATGGTTGTAGGCTTATGTACTCACTGGTAGGTTGTTAACGATTGTACTTATAGACTTTATAAGTTCATGTTTAACATTGGTAGGTTGGTGATGGTTGTAGGCTTATGTACAGTGTTTCTTTCAGACTTTTTTCTCCGGGGGGGGGGGAGCACTTGTAATTTTCGGCGGGGGGGGGGGGGCGGTAGACTTTCTTCGGGGGGGGGGGCGGACACTGTTAAAAGTATATATTTTCTATATAAATTATATAAATTTCATTTCGTTCGGGGGGCGGGGGGGGGGGGGGGGGGGGGGGGCGGGCGGTAAGAGAAGAGATGCCTGGAAGAAAATCTGCTTATGTAATAGTTGGTGGGCTTTATACGTTCATGTTTAACATTGATAGATTGGCGATGGCTCTATTGTAGGCTTTTGTTAACAAACACAGGCTGTTTTTATCTATCTAGCGACTATTAGATTATATTGTTTTGCTTAGTGTTGGTAGCTTGGTATGTCTGTGTCGGGTAACCTATCCAAAAAAATCACTAACACTTCTGATGAAATTAAAACACTGCATAAAACATAAAATTGCATTATATAAAGATGACCAAAGTACGAAATGTAAATAAAAATAGCAGAAAGCATATAACTGATTGAAATTACCCTGTTTTAATTGTGAATAAAGAACCCTTCAGTGTTTTAACTTATTCGATTTACAATATTGTATAATTCATTTAAAACAGAGTAAAAAAAAATTACTTTACCAGGAATGTTTCCCTACGTCATGATGACGTCAGGAATATTCTTCTGCTCCAATGATTGGCCTAGACGACTCTACGCATACGTCACTTCTGCACTGAGGATCAGACGATGTTCTGAGACCGCCTCCATTAAGACCAGTGATCACTGTATCTACAGCAAAGATCAAGTTAAATCGGAGGTACTGTTGCTGCTGCTGATTTCTTCAAATGCGCCCGGGTCAGATGAGTAGCAACTGACTTGAAATCGGGGCGGCCGTCCCTTGAACTTCTATCTGTTTAGCTCCTGTATTCAAGTGTCTTTACCCCCTTTTTTCACCATTGAAGTTTCCTAAAAACATTTTTTTACCTTTCCAGAATGGCCAGGCTTATAGTTTCAGAGTCCCCCTCAAACACACACCAAAGGTGACCCCCACTTTTCTGCACAAACTGGCCACATCTTTCACCTTGGGGTTCATGACCTTGCAATGTTTCCTACCGTACTCACACTTTGTCACTAAGGTAAAGAAATATTTCATTTGGTACCATCATACCATCATACCATCATACCATCATACCATCATACCATCATACCATCATACCATCATACCATCATACCATCATACCATCATACCATCATACCATCATACCATCATACCATCATAGCATCACACCATCATACCATCATACCATCATACCATCGCACTAAACTGTTCAAACTTTGACAGGGACTGAACAGCTGGACAAATGGCCTCTACGGTTACTCCTGGAACATGATGGTCGACAGCTGGGTACTCCAGCATGCCAGGATCACCTACAGAGAGAAGGACACTGGTCACTCAGGGTACATCGACCCTTACGTAAGTAATGCAGACAACGATCTGCTTAGTAACGACACAAGGGGAAAACGGTGGGGGAGGGAGGGGTGATGTGTAAATCCTGAGTCCAGAAATATCAACAACAACTAGATTTTCCATTATCTAAATTTCGCATGATCTAGAGTTCTAATTATCTAGGTTCCCCATGATTCTACATTTCCCATGATTCTAGATTCCCTTTGTTTCTAGATTTCCCATGATCTAGATTCCACATGTTTCAAGTTTTCCCATGATCTAGATTTCCCATGTTTCTAGATTTCCCAGAATCTAGATTCCCCATGATCTAGATTCCCCATGTTTCTAGATTTCCCATGGTTCTAGATTCCCCATGATCTAGATTTCCCATGGTTCTAGATTCCCCATATTTCTAGATTCCCCATGTTTCTAGATTCCCCATGATCTAGATTCCCCGTGATCTAGATTCCCCGTGATTCTAGATTTCCCATGAAGACGGACGCAAACGTTGGCCCACCCAGGCCTGTATGATCAAACAGTACGCCGCCTGTGTGGCCGAGTCTCTCAGACAAAGCAACATCACCAACGTGGAAATCTACTTCGACATCTGGTACTCACACAACCACAGGTTCCAGCAAAGGTAAGTTTGGAACATAATTTTGTTGAGTTCAACGGAATTCAACAAACCATGAGTTTTACTTTGCTTTCAGTCATTCAGAAACGACACGTTTAAACTACTGTTTAAAGTTAGAAGTATATGTAGAATGGTTTAAGGTTATGGACCCTGTATGACCAATTAAAAATAATTAATATAACAAATATATGTATAGGTATATATATATATATCTATATATCTATATATATCTATATATATATATATATATATATATATATATATATATATATATATATATATATATATATATATATATATATATATATATATATATATATATATATATATATATATATACACATACATACATACATACATACATACATACATAGCACATTTCACAATTATTATGTGAAAATTAAAAACCAACTGATTAAAATTAAATCCTAAATACAATAAATATTATGCCTTGAGATATTTTTTTCTGAGATTATTTGTCCATCGTATCATTTGTCCTGATATACTTTGTCCTGAGATAATTTGTCCTGTCACCATATATTTATATGCCTGAAGGATCGTGAACCCCCATGTTGACATATTAACGGCCGACTGGAACCTCTTTGAGAAGCCCAGCTGGATGCTGCCTCTACTCACCGACCTATCAGATTGGAGGGAAAAGTTTGACGTCATCAAGAAATCTTTTGACGACATGTATGAGCTGGTCTATGTGGCCGACTTCCCGGGTACGTCACTTCCGGTTTCGGTTTCTAAATGAAATTAATTACTTGAAATAATTACCGCCACTTGCTTAAGTTCACGGTTTTAAAAAAAAACATTTTTTTGGGGTTAACTGTTCTTTTGTCTAATTATTTTTTGCACGCTTCTAGTAGTCCAGTTATTAGGTTTTGTTGCTCTATTATAGCGTTTGAAATCTATAATAACAAGCTTTTATTATGCCTTTAAAAAAATCAAATTGCATTTTCACCGGGTCTTGACCTACTTGTCAAGTTTGAAACGAATCTGTTCGATAAAAGTGGGTTAGATTCTGTTCGCAAGTTTCGACCAATAAAAAGGGCCAAGCTTTAAGCACGAAGACCAAAGCGGTAGGACATAAGACAAATACACTATAAATCATGTTAAAAAAAGGATTTAAAAAGCATTATTTTAATTAGGGGTAAATGTTAACCAACCAATGATATTGTAAAATAATAAATAACCCTTTTAATGAATATTTAAACTTGCCAGGGTTTTCTCTGGAGAACTACGTGGAGCCAGACTTTGAGAATACCAGCCTGACGGTGCTGGAGGGTCGAGTCGTTGTTGAGTTCCCTGAGGAGAATAGAAACATCACCCTCGGGATCAACCAAACCATTCAGGTAACATTATGATGTTGAGTGCGGGGGAGTGGAGGGGGGGTGAGGGGCGGGGGTGTAATCCATAAATAATTTCACGTGAGAAGTGGGAGGTGAATTTGTGGTTTATTTTATCATGTTCTATGTTACAGCAATTTTTTATTATGTATTAGGTTAAAATATGTGTTATCATGTACCTAGTTTTACTATATTTTCTGATTGTTTGAAATGCATTACATTATAAAGATACGTAAGTTACGGACTAACCCTTGTAGCTTTGATGCACCGCGTTGGCTGCGCAATAAAATGTTATAAGGACAGTTTCGTTCAAAGTAATAAAAAATGTTTGGATCCCATTGGTATCAGTTTCATTTTAAAACAAAACAGAAAAAGAAATCGCCCACGGAAAATATCGCTTCAGGAAAATGCGCTAGAGAAAAAAGTGCGCTACCGAATAAAGCGCCCAAAAGAAAAAGCGCAAATAATGTGCCTTATTAGTTCTTAAATAGATAAATTTAAAAAAAAACAACTTGATGTACAATGAAACTTGATTAAAATGTACGCTGGATGCTGACATGTCTTTTCAGATTCCTGAAGACAGTTTTCACCTAGTCCACGTGGCAACAGAGACCGTCTCCTGCTACATGTACTCATTCACAAACCAAACAAAATCCAAACTTTGGAGAAAATACAAGCACGCATTGGCTCAAGGGGGCAACTCTACATTAGGTGAAGAACAAAATTATTTTCTTACAGTGGTTTCCTTAGTGGGAGGTGTGGACTAGTTCTTGAGGGGGTACAAAAAATTGAACAGTCAAGTAAAAATACAACTTAAATATTACAATGTGGACGTAATAGTATATTACATCACTTTTCAATTAGTTTAGACATAACGTAGTGTTTAAAATAAATTGCAATAATTATTTTTCTTTACCGGTAAATATTAAATTCAGCTAATTACTTCCCATTTATTAAAAATCAAAGAACTAAGGGATACAACTTATAATCATACTTATAAAAGTTTTACAAATACAGAGAAATTCAACAGCAATCTGATAAAAATTGAGTATTTACTAATTACTAAGCAAAAAAGAAACAGTTAAAGATGATAGAAATAAATATTATGTAGAGTAATCATTTACTACATGAGTAGCTTTGGCAGTAAAAGTAGTAAGTAACGATGCCTTTTAGGCCCTGAGGATCAATAAGGTAAGGAAAGTGGATTGCATCAGTTTTCGTGAGTTCGATATATGAAAGGGATAGGTTAATAATATGTGTGACTAGCCACATTTACTATTCCTCTCTTGAGTCAGGTACCCATTAGAGCTGGGTGGACTCAGTGGCGCACTACAGACTCGAGATAGGGATCCGAACTCGAGACTTTCGGGTTAACACCCTACGTCTCAGCTTTAGTGTAAAGTCCCTGTTTACCACACTTACAATGTGAGATGTTTGTTTCTATTGCAGACGCTGTTTTAAAAAGTTTAGAAAATGATACAGACCTGAATAACATCCAGAGTTTACTGGGTATAGAGGGGCCTAAAGTACAACCAATTACTCTACACAAGTTGAAGGCATTCTTTCAGGAGTTTTATGCTGATATTACGAGAAGGTTGGTATGGATCTATTAATAGATTTTATGTTGGTATTACGAGAAGGTTGGTATGGATCTATAAATAGATTTTATACTGATATTACGAGAAGGTTGGTATGGAACTATAAATAGATTTTATGTTGATATTACGAGAAGGTTGGTATGGATCTATAAATAGATTGTATGCTGATATTACGAGAAGGTTGGTATGGATCTATAAATAGATTGTATGCTGATATTATAAGAAGGTTTGTGTGAACTCATAAAGCCATATGGTTTTGTAGTTTGACTAAGTCGAGACTACACAATCGACTATTCATGTTGACACGTTCAATTTTGTATTGTATTGTTACAATCCCATTGTAAATAATTTCTTAGCGGACCTAAAATTGTTTTATTTTTTTATTTTTTAAAGACATATATGCACAAATCGACACATATGCACATAAATAGACACTAGCAGAGTGAGTGTTTGTGTGGGCAACCCATTTTTTTAACCCTTCTCATACCCATACCCCAGCCTACTTCTAGTTAGAATCCACTTTAGACCTAGCGAAGTTGAGTTCATATGTTTCTTGAAATCTGCATATGAATGAATAATTTATTCAGCACTGTGCCTACCAGCATTTTACTTTCCCTAAAATGAGTTAGGTATCCATTTGAGCTGGGTGGACTCAATGACGTTTTACTTACTTAAACCCGGATTCAAACTCGAGACGTTCGGGTTAGCAGTCTAGCACTCTACCTCTATGCCACGCATTCCATGATATAAAGTTATGCGGTCTTCTAATGACGAATCTCTTCGATATCCCCAGCTGGTTGCTAGCGGCTAGTGCCGTCTTCTCCATAGCAACCAACACAGACTTTGATGCCGTTTTAAACATTTCCCTGGCAGTACCGGAAACTGAATGACGTAGTGTTGATTACATTTTCTTCTTTTTGATATCTACATTTAAACGCCATACGTTCATTGTATTACCATTATAAAATAAAGTTTCATTTATTTTGATTTTAAAAGTTTTGATGCTGTACTGTACAATTCGGAGTCATTCATAAGTGATGTCATGATATTCTGATTGTGTTCGTCACTCACACCAACACCCCATCATCACGCCTCACACCAACACCCCATCATCACGCCTCACACCAACACCCCATCATCACGCCTCACACCAACACCCCATCATCACGTATGTTCACTAAACATCACCCAGTGTTTACAAGTAACATTTATTTCTTATTAATTGAACAAGCTCAAATTTATTAACTTTAAGAACAAAACGAACTACCAGACTAACTCAAGAATATTGATATACTTCTGTTTTAGTTGATGTATAAATAGGTCATCTATTATTATCTCATATACACAACAACACACATAAATGATATTTCGAAAGGATTTTTTCTCATGAGAACCTTCATCAAACAGAGTTCATTATTCAAAACTCGTTTAAAAATATATGCCCCACACTAATCTACATTTGAATTATATATACTGGTCTATTTTTTGTTCGCTCTATATTCCTGCACAACTTAACAATCTTAACAACTATGCGAAAAATCCAGCATTTCCAGTGATGCCAAATACAATAAGATTACAGATATACAACTTTTTGTATAGAACATGTAAGATTGGGAAAAAATAAAAGAATTTTAATTAAATGTGGTCATAACAATTTTATTTTAAACACATAAAGTTTTTTTTTTGAAACTATAATAATTTATAATTTTTGTATTAGAAATATAAAAAAATATATGGAGGGGGGTGCAAATCGAAAGTTTGAGAGGGGGTGCAAATCGAAAGTTTGAGAGGGGGTGCAAATCGAAAGCTTGAGGGGGGGGGGGGCTGCAAATCGAAAGTTTGAGGGGGGGGGGGGGTTGCAAATTGAAAGGTTTATCCCCATGGGGGCGCGTAATTGAAAGTTTGTCCCCGGGCGCCGGGAGGGGTCGCTACGCCTCTGTACTCAATTGTTGTTTTTTATTTTATTTCTTGTATACGAAGTATAGAGAAAGTATTGTGATCGTGCACAATACGAAATCGAGATTATCACAAATTTCGAAGCTTTACACCTCCCTGAGTTGGAAAAATAGAGTTTTGAAATGTTGTCCATTTGTCTGTGTAGTGTGTCTGTGTGTGTCTGTTAACAAGATAACTTGAGTACCGTTACAGCTGAGTTGATAAAATTTCATATATAAGTATTATAACAAATTTGTTGTATCGACTTTTCAGCGATTTCCGATAACCGAAAGTGGATATTATTTTACTTTTAGTTTTTCAAAAAACTTATAACTTGAGTACTATTTCAGACAGATAAACGAAATTTCGCTTGTAAGTAAAAGATCTATTTCTCTGCCTTCTGTCAAATTTTGAGTAATTTCCGTTGACCGAAAGTTGTAATTTAGGCTATTTCCGATTTAAAAAAAAAACGCATGTGAATTTATAAAGTACTAATAATATTCTGGTGACAGTTTTTATCTCAGAGTACATCTGGAGGGCATATTCACCCAGTTCTCTGCCTTGGCTTGACTGCTTGAAGCCACCAAATGGTGTTTGTGAAGTGACAACATCATAAAAGTTTACCCAAACACATCCAGCTTGTATAGACTGTGAAATTTGAAATGCCTTCTTGACGTCATTGGTTATAACTCCTGCCGCAAGCCCATATTTAGTCTTGTTGGCTCTTTCAATCACCTCTTCTATGTCAGTGAACTTTAAACTACTCTGGACTGGCCCAAATATCTTCACCAGAGAAATGCTTATATCGTCCTTCTCATCATTTTTGCAAAATTTAAAATCATAAGAATGTGTAACCTCAATGCTGTGTATATTTAGTATATTAAAATACTCAAATTACGCTTTTTAAAATATTTATATTTATACACATAATCAATCTAAATTATAAATATTTGTTTATAAAATAATTTATTATGAACGTCTGTTTTCTTTTAAAATGCCTTAAAACATTTTTTGTTACTTTTGGGAGCACATTATAAGTACTTTCCCTTGAAAAATTATTTATCTTATATGGGAGACAATTCAGTGTTGCTGAAGAAGAACATACTAAGTCGAATCTTCCTTTTAAAATCTCTTACCAAATGTTTTTGGCTAGAATGGCGTACTCTATCAATTAAAAGCGATCTAAGTTTTTTTTTCGCAAGTAAGATTCAAAAACGACTTGAGGATGATTTATTCAGTACTATATACCCAGAGCCGGCGCCAGGTTATATAGCGCCCTAATTAAACGCCCTCTTTTACACAAATTCATTACTATAACATATGTAAAGTAAAGTTTCCCTTACAAACCTGACGGTCTATGGGGCAAGTGAAGTAGTGTTCACTTGTTTATGTGACCTCGGCATACGAAGAGATAGTGTGGTCATCGCTATGCCCAGCCGCCTTTACTTTCCCTAACGTGAGTTGGGACCCATCAGAGTTGGGTGGACTCAGGGACGGTCTACTGATTAGAACACGGATTCGAACTCGAGACTTACGGGTTAGCAGTCCAGCTCTCTACCGCTAGACCACTCCGTCCCACATATGTATAAGAAAACAATTAATTGAAAGTGACATATTAATTTATTATCAATTGCATACACGTTATAAGTAGACATCAAAATCAAATTTTACTTGCCTCCTTCAATTCTAGTTTGCAAGAGTAATCACATTCTATTAAAATTGTTGCTAAGTCCACGAATCTACTTTGTACTTTACGACATAGCCCCCCCCCCCTACCCCTTTAGAAAATTTTAAGTGCTTCCCCCCCCCCCCCCTCCCGGGAGAAAAAGAGTCTGGAAAAAATACACTGATAATGCTAAAAAAACCTACCAAACTATTTTGTTTAGAACTTAAGCCGTATATAACTTTTACAATAGAAAATAATAACTTAAAGTTGTATTTAAATGTAAGCGGTCAATCTAATGTGCAGGAATTTGAAATGAAAGTAAAGGTAAGCATTGAATTATCTCCCATTTGAAAATCAAAACGCCAAAATTTTATTCAAGGGAAATAACTTTCACAAGAATAGCTAAATTAAACTAGTGTAACTAAGACATGTTTGAAAAACACAATAAAACGCTCTAAATTTCATTACCTTATAATTATAACAAATGTGTTATATTAGCTAAGCAACCTTGTAAAAACAATATATTTGACCTATTGAATACTTAACTATAGATTTTGTTTAAAAGGCTAAAAAGGGTAGCTTTATTATAACACACTTCTATTCAATCTTGATAACATATTATTATTAACAGCATTCGAAAATATCAATCGCAACGTAAAATTTTGGATCCCTTTAAATCAAGGGACGTCTTTCAAAAGATCAAACACGGGTAACTGTTTTAGACGATGCTAGAATTATAATTTGAAAAAAAAACAAAGTTTGCGGTTAGTTATTAATTCCATCCTAATTAATATTATATATTAATATTTTAAGAGTGGTAATATAGATTCCTAAAAAACTAAAGATTTTTCAACTAGAGAACGCCTACCTTTCTTTGTAGTGTGTTCCGTACTGAATTGAAATCATCTAAATTACGATAAACTCGATATACTCTACTAAATTCACAACACATATCAAACTTCGATACCTAAACATAACTAGACTCGATGCTCCAGAACTACGACACCAACTCGCTCTACAAACGATACTCCCAATCAACAACGATTTCACTGAACCTACTACTACACAGTCAATATAATTCGATACCTTAATACAACAAGAATCAATACTCCCGAACTCCAGAACTACGATACTTCATCACCTGCATTATCATTTCTCTATTACCACAAGACCTTCAACTACAAAACAGCCGAATACAAATTATGACATTTTAACATTTCGATACTTTATACCTACGAAACCATTTAAGCAACAGCCTTCCGCCGTTACTCCCAAATCTAAACGATTCATCAAAACATACCAAACAAGTAATACTTTGAACACCCCATCATTGCAAAACTCAATACACCAGGACATATTTCTAATTCAAAGTAAGATAAAACGAGACTTACAAGCCCTATTAAAATTAGATAAGCGTTTGAAATGTTCGAAATTTTAATTACGAACTCATTTAATCGCTTTCTACTTGAATTATGTGACACCAAATTAAAAAGGCAAAATGACTGGACCTTACTAAATTACGGAGGTGGGGTTACATTTTCACCATCGCGAATAAATATAGGCCTATAAAGACCTAATTTTGGGGTGGGTGGGGTTGTAAAATTTATCGCTACTCCTTTATAAAAGTTATTCATTATAATGTACTTTTTGATAATAGCTATTAACCCCCCCCCCCCCCCCCCCCTACTGAAGGCGCCTTATAGGTAGCGTCGGCCCTGTATATACCCGTACTGATTTACCTATTCTTAAATACATTTCGTGCCTTCATATCATCTATCAACATTGAAGCTTTGCATACTATTGCTTGTTAAGTTTTGGAAAAGTTTATAGGCTAACTTAATGGAGCTCAAAACGTAGTACTATAAGCAGTATTACAAACTTGTAGTAAGATTTTAGAAATCTATTTCCTTAATACAGCTAGTAGAAAACATACCACACCTTTAATATGTTTTTCACTTCGAAGTGTTTTTCACTTTGACTGAACCAACCCTGCTGACTTTTACAAATATAGTCGTTGTTTTAAAACCTACTTCTTATATCCTAATTGTTTTAAAACCTACTTCTAATGTCCTAATTGTTTTAAAACTTACTCCTTATATCCTAATGCAATAATAGTTATAGTATGGGCGTTAAAAATTGCAATACTTATATTTTATATACAAAATAGAAATTAAAACATGAACATTTTTGTTTGTAAATATAAATTTAAGTGATAAGAAAATACGGTTTTCAATAGATAAATGTAAATTTATAAATGTCGTTAATTAAGGAGTAGTAAAATAGGTTAGGTTAGGTTTGCCTGTCGCACCTCCTGGGACACAGGCCGCTGACAAGAGCTTTCCAGGCGCCTCTGTCCTGGGCTAGTCTCTCCAACTGTCCCCAGGTGTTTCTAATCTACCATCTACCATCTACCCCGCCCCCCACACACACAACCATCTACCATCATCTATCTCCTCACCATCATCTACCATCCACCACCATCCCCCACCACCATCATCCACCACCACCACCATCTACCATCCACCACCATCTATCATCCACCACGACCACCATTCACCACCACAACCATCCGCCACCATCTACCATCTACCACCATCCACAACCATCCGCAACCATCTACCATCCACTACCATTCACCATCCACAACCATCCGCCACCATCTACCATCTACCATCCACCACCATCTACTATCCACCACCATCTACCATCCACCATCTACCATCCACCACCATCCACCACCATCTACCCTTTATTTATTTATTTTAGATACAAACTATGTTTTTACTGCTGTCTTATGAAGATAAACTAAATGCGGTTTTTGCATTTCTTAATTATGCTGTTTGTTGTTGAAAGAATGAAGGAAAAAGAAAGCAAATGACTATAGCAGTAGGTACGTAATATTTATATTTAGCTGTGACTCACCCTTAGCACAAATAAAGTTATTCAAAATGTATTTGACCACCCCACCCACGCTGATATTTCAGCATTCCCCTTTCCCTACCACCATCACTCACACATGAAAGCAATACATTATGACGCATTGTTTATACTGGGATACTGTTTTTATAACACTGCATCACAATCACATTCAATACAGGTCACATACAGGTGTATTGTTTTTTGCTGGATCCTTATTAATGGGTGCTACGTTTGGTCTTGAGTTATTGTTACGTCCCTTGCATTGCATATATCATAGTTATGTCCCTTGGAGTGTGTACCGTTGGTGTGTTTACTTCCGTCTGCGGCTGGTAGCGAGACGGTAGAGCTCGGTCGTGTTGTAAGAGACCATAACTTTATTATCGGTGTGTGGGTAGGGGGGAGGTACATATCGGTGCAGAGGCGCAGCGATGGGGGGGGGGGGGGGGGGGGGCAGGGGAGGGACATATGTCCCCTGGCGCCGACCTTAGGGGGCGCCAAAATGGGTTGTAAAAACAAATTAAAATGTCATTTTAGCTGCATTCTTGCAATTTGAAGGGGAGGGGGGGTGCACATCGAAAGTTTGAGGGGGGGGGGTGTTGCAAATCGAAAGTTTGAGGGGGTGGGGGTACAAATTGAAAATTTGCTCTCGAGCGGGGCGCCAAATTGAAAGCTTGTCCCCGGGCGCCGGGAAGGGTCGCTACGCCTCTGTATCGGCGGGAGTCCTACTTTTTGGACCCCTATAGAGGCAAGCGTGGTCGGGTCGGTTAAGCTCAAGGTTTTTGAAACGAAATGTCCCTAGTTCGAACCCCCAGCTGCTTCGGGCTGATGAAACTCGATAGTTAGGGACAGCAACTCATCAAGGAGAGACGACTCCAAAATCAAAAACCTGCTGCTTTGTAATTTGTTCTTGATTGGAGAAAAGCTTTGGAAGCTTAACCAAAAAGAAAAGCTGGCTGAAATAGGAGTCAACACTAGAAGTAAGGAAGAAGAAGGAAAATAAGAAGGACCACTTTGTTACGATGTATAGCCCGTGCAGAAATTTTATGTCGTCAGTGATGTCAATTATACAAAAAAAAATTCTCGCAAAAAAATCTCACAGACATCTAACGAGGACAAAAATAGGATAGTTTAAAATTTAAGAAAAATTATAGACGAAAACTGTGAAAATGAGTTTTCTCAACGAAAACAGGTAACGATAATTATTTATATTTTATTTATAATTGTACATTTCTCTTAATGTTGTATAATTTCAATAAAATGATATAAATCTACATATTTTAAAATATAACCTTAAGACAAACACAAATATGAGTGAATAAAAAGTTATTTTAAAAATATATTTAATGAATCTCTTATAGTAATACATTATTTATAATTTGTGTCACAACGTACATCTTTCCCTTTACATCAACATGTTAAAAATTTCAAATCTGTGCGCTTATTCATTTCTTGCATATAATTCCTTCATTTGTGCTTCAAATGTTTTTCTCAATACCGGCCTTTTATTCTTTAGAGTTGGTGTCAATAGATTACTCTCAACTGTGAACATTTCTGGGATCAGAGTGATGTCCTTCACCTTGTAAACACAGCAGACAAAAATCAATAAAAATGTCAGTGTTTTTTTTTATATTCTTCATAAATGACCGCTAACAAATATATTAAGAAAAAGATTATTACGTAGGTTAGTAAATCAGAAAATGTTATTTTGTTGAGATTAATTTATGAGATTATATTGTGCTCTTAAGGGTCGTCCATAAATGACGTCACACTTGTAGGGGGTGGGTGGAGCGTAATTGTGTGACGATGTGTGATAAGGGGAGGGGGGGGGGGGGCAGATAGTGTACCGTCACACTGTTGGATGTTAAAAAAAACTGAATTTTAGCCATTGTTTCGCGTCCTAGAAAACTGTTTTAATAAATTGTTATACAAATTGATTTAAATAATATTTTGACCAAGGTCAGTCAATATTTTAGAAAAAAAAACGATGTTATGTTTAAAAAAAATTTAATGCAATTTTAAAGGGTAGTAGTAGGCTGAGTTGTGACGTTATTTTTTTTTTTTGGGGAGGGGGGGGGGGGGCTTTTTGAGACAACGTATAATAGACGGGAGGGGGGAGGTAAAAACGTTTTAAAAAGCGTGATGCCATTTATCGATGATCCCTTAGTTTACTTTACTCGAATAGGTTTACGCTCCCCCCCCCCCCCGCCCCTTCTTCTTCAGTTTTAGAAAACAAAAACAAACAAACAACACCAATGAGTAATGAAGCTCTCACCTGCTCAAAGCCTCTTAAACCTGAAGCTTTCCCTCTCTCCAGCATATCCTTCAGTACTAGGTCATGAGCCTCCTATAATACAGCAGTGGTAATACAGTTACAATGTTAACAAAGTTACAATGTTAACAAAGTTACAATGTTAACAAAGTTACAATGTTAACATTAACTTTCTGAGGATGATACGTCTTTTATCAGATATATAACGATAAAAATATACTTACAAAAGGTTATAATGTATAGGTAATATAAATTTATATTTTTGAAAAGATTCAAAAGAAAGCAGAAATTCAACTGTTTCATAAGTGTTGATCTTATCTGTTGATTTCCTTTTCATATCCCAAGATTATAGAAAAATAAAACAGTTATAAAGATGATAGTTATTCTTGTCTAGCCTAGACTTTTGAGTTAACCCATAGCATGAAAGCACAAAAGAGTGAAAAAAACTTACTTTTGATTGACAAAAGAGTTTGATATCCGCTGGGAATCCATTGTTTGGTGCCCACTTTGAGATGAATTCAGCATCAGGTACCACTATCCCCATTATAAAATTCTGGAGGAAACGTAAAAAAGTAGATTAGCATAATCCCTCACAAACCCCTTGTCTAAGAAAGATAACGGTTTGTTTTTAAAGGGGACGTCCCATGTCAAGCTAAAGATTTGTTTCATTTGTTTCTATATTTATTTGATATTTTCCAGAAAACTTAGTAAAATATATGTACCCCTCTGTAAATATCCTTAATACATATATACATTTAGTTTGGTGATTATGACAATACTGAGCATAAAAAAAATTTAAAAAACAAAAAAGCAAACGGGATTGCAACATTTGCATAATCACTTCATATGCAGTGTCCACTGAACAGATACGCTCTACTTCATCTGCACCACCAGAGCACAGTGAATCATAATTAACAATTGCACTACCATTATTTGAAGTATAAGAGAAGGAGAATTGTGAATCACCATCCATGAATGATGATTCACCAAACACGAATTGTGATTCAATATCCATAAATTATGAATCACCATTCATGAGTTGTAAATCACCATACAGGAACTGTGAATCACCATCCATGGATTATGAATCACCATCCATTACCTTAAAACAGTCCCCATCCACAAAACATTGACAAACGAACTGGCTTGTTTTATAGACGTTCTCAATCATCTCAGGGGCTATGTACTCTCCCTGTCAAAATGTTAGGTCTACATGAATGGCTTAGTTCTATATTAATGGCTTCAATCTACATTAAAATGGCTTAGATCTACATTGATGGATCCATTTTTGATCAAAACTTTAGAATTAAAAAAAATCATTCAAGCTACGTATATTTTGGAAAATTTTAAGTTTTTAAACAATTCCAACTTTCATTGGCTCAAGCAGAATATAAGTAACACTAAATCCTTGTAAAACCTTTAAAAACAAAACAAAAACTCACTTGCGAAAGTTTAAAAATATGTTTCACTCGATCAACAATTACCAGAGCTCCGTTCTGTTACAAAGACGAAATAATAATTAACATATATCCACCGTATTCACTTATAATGACCAAATTCTAACAAGTTAAAAGAACTACAATGAATAATTAAAAGCACAACTATAAAATCTCCTACTCACAGGCGCCCATCTGCCTACATCCCCTGTATGTAGCCAGCCATCTTTGTCCAGTGTTTCAGCCGTTATATCCGGTTGTTTATAGTAGCCGCTGAACACCAAATCACCTTTAGCGCACACCTTTAGATGTCAGGCGAACACTCGTTATTTTTTTCATTCTAATCTGCTTGCTTTTTATATTCATACCATTATCCAGATTCACTGTATTACGTTTGGTTACATCTAATATATGCTCACATCATTTTGGATAAAATAAACGCAGAATTTTATATTCTTTATTGAGAATATAGCAGCACCAGAAGTATTTACAGATATTAAAATGTTTTAGCAAGTAGGTTTTGTTATAAGTTTAAAGTGTATATTTCTTAAATTAACTTATATTCAGCATTTAAAATATATAAGTAGGTTAGTCTAAGTACCTCCCCTATGTTGTCTTTAGCGTAGTAGTCCAATGCCGGTACGTCCACCAGTTTTATCTGCACCCCGGGGAGTGGCGGACCAATGGAGTCTTTAGATTTTAAAAAAATATGTTCACTTCATTATCTTAATGCAGTTTAAGTTCTTTAATTGATGCTACTCTAACAAAGCAGAATTTCTTACTTCTGCTTTTAAAAAGTTAGTCTCTTTTAGAATTATTTCTTGGCAGCAAATGTGTATAATGTTGCAACATACAGCTTACCGTTCAAAGGATTTCCTATGATCGATATGGCCAAGCCAGCCCCCGCTTCTGTTTGGCCATAGCCCTCAACAACCTAACATGGAAATATGTGTTGGTTAGCTCTAAGTATCCATAGCTTTACTTTCTACTCATATAAAATAAGTCATAAACAAGGTATTTAATATTATGCAGTGAAATTAAAAATTAAGGAACGGCGTGTCGAATAGTGGAACAAACGTTCTCTAACCCAAAAGTTTCAAGTTCGAATCCCGTGTTTAAGCTTGTAGAATGTCCCTATGTCCACTCAGCAATTATAGACATGACTCACGTAAGAGAGCGACCGCTTAGCATAGTGCTGACCACATTATCCCTTCATATGCCGAGGTCACCGAAGTATGTGAACTCTACTTCACCTGCTCCATGTACTATCAAGTTCAAGCTGGCCGTTAATACTGGCAAGTTATGTACTGTGTAAATCTGTAGTTTGTATTCGTGTGTAGATTGTATCCATTAAAGGCTACTTAGTATGTCAGGTAATAACATTTAATTAGTTGCAAACGCCTGTCTGCACCATAAGTAACTGTGGCGTCTTCTTCCACGAAAAGCTAAACTTCTCCAATTACTTTTTACATGCATGTAAACTCGGTAATGAAACTTACAGGACACCCAAAAGCACATCGGAGGAACTGCATCACTTGAGGGGACAGTGGGGCGGAGCCTGTGATGATGAGCCTGATGCGACCCCCCAGCTTGTTTTGTATCTTTCTGAAGATCAGTTTGTCCCAAAAGCTGTCTCTTCGAATTATCCTCCTGAAAATTAAACCATTGCACTCATAATATTTAACTGACTCGATCCCTCTCAAATACCATTGCACCAATGTTCTTAATAAGGTCTAATATTTAACTAACTTGAAGTACTCTGTTTGGAGATGCTTATCTGTATCAGATTAACCAACAAAAGGGTTTCTTTCAGAATTATTTCTCCTGGGGTGGGGACACTTGAAATTTCCACTGGAAGGGTGGAAGGGGGGGGGGGTAGGGTCATTTTAAAATTTCAGGGAAGGGGGAAGTGGTTAAAATATATTTTTTCTACATTATTTAAGTATTTTTTTCCAATTTCTTCCAGGTAGGTGGGTGGGGCTGCGGACTTGCTACAAGGGGAGAGATTTCCAACACTGGATTTAAGTCTGCATGGAAAATAATAAACAACAGATACAAATTGTACAACTGAGGAAGACGTGTTAAGTCTATACTATTCGAATATTTACATTCACAATAATATTAGTAAACAGTATTTTCTATATTTTTTTTTACAAATATCTATTTTGTTAACTGAGCTTCATAAATAAACTTACTTGTTGATTTCCTTTGTTTTACTTTCTATTGCCCATCTGAACAATGTTGATTTTATAGATGAAGATTTGATTTCTGACATTACCTTAAACAATCAGAGTATAAAATCGATTACATAGGTCTTTAAATATGAATACACGATGGAGCAACAAGACATATGGCTGATACAAGTCCGAAGGTAATTTCCCTGTTGGGATCCACCCAGATCTACTTGGTAACTTAATCGAGTCTGAATTAAGTAGATGCGGGCGGGATACCGCATACCATTACATAAACTAGGGTAGGCATAACCTTAGTTTTACTTCAATAACTCCAGTCTCACTTTAAATACTCAAATGTTACTATAACAAATCTAATCTTCACTTCACTTATTTCAGTTTATGTTATAACTGAATTCTCAACACCAGAGATGCATGAGAACGATTCAAAAACCTAATTCTATACCGACATTTTTGATGAGAGTCTCAACGAGTATGTTGTTGATAATAGTGTTGGATCGGCTGAACTTCAATAATTCTAAGTCCAAAAACTACTGTCACATAACAGTTACTAAGTCTCACTCTAATTACTGCTAGTCTCACTCTAATTACTGCTAGTTTCACTCTAATTACTGCTAGTCTCACTCTAATTACTGCTAGTTTCACTCTAATTACTGCTAGTCTCACTCTAATTACTGCTAGTCTCACTCTAATTACTGCTAGTCTCACTCTAATTACTGCTAGTCTCACTCTAATTACTGCTAGTCTCACTCTAATTACTGCTAGTCTCACTCTAATTACTGCTAGTCTCACTCTAATTACTGCTAGTCTCACTCTAATTACTCCTAGCCTCATTAAAAAAAACCCTGTCACGCTCCAATAATTCAAGCTTCACGCTCCAATAACCCCAGCCAACTTACCCCATCATAGATCCTATTAAAGAGCCGAGGGACGCTGGGAAACAGTGTTGGTCTGAGAGCGGCCATGTCGTCTAGTATCAGGGCGGGGTTTCTGCTGTAGAAGCCGATACGTGCCCCGCAACACAGGAACGCCAGCTGAAATTGTAGAGGACACATTTTATACAACCAGAACCATTATAAGCTCATGTTCATGTGAACGCCAACTGAAATTGTACAGGACACATACATTTATGGGACACGTCTAACACCAGTATATGTCCCTACTCATGTAAATGTGCCTTGAAATGTAGGTGCAATGTACTTGCATGTAATAATTGCACCATACGACGCACACATTTTTACATGTAAATTTAGTAAGAATCCCTCTCCCCGCCCAAGGCTTTTGTAAGAGTGAATAAATTAAATTTAACTTGTCACGTGCTTGTGGTGTAGAATGAGGTGGGGGTGATAAAGTAAAGTCCCTGCTTACAAGTGAATAAATCTTAACTTAATGTGGTATATTACATTTTAGATTTGATTCAGAAGAAAATTCCTTTATTACTTGCTTAAAATATTAGATCATTCCTATGTTCGGTGTGCCTTATATAGTGAAAAAATGAGGTCTAATATTTAACTAATATTTAATTAAACAGGGTTTCTATCCCAATTATATATATATATATATATATATATATATATATATATATATATATATATATATATATGTGTGTGTGTGTGTGCGTGTGTGAAATTATGAAATATACTTACGACTATAGTTCTATCAAAATTGTGAGCCAAAGGTAAATATGACAGGTGAACATCGTTTTTGTTGAATGTATGTTTATCCTGTAAAATACGGTAGTTCATTATTGTAAAACGGAACAAAAAATTAAGAAAACAAATACAAGGACGTAGACTCTATTTCATTTCAATGATCTTGAGCAAACAATTAAGATCTGTTCCAAAAGGAAACCTACAGCTAAAGAAAGTTTTAAAGGAAAACTTAAACAATATAAAAACTTACTCTGAAAAACTTACCCCTTACAGAAATATTACAAAATGAAAATCTCACCCCTACAAAAATATGAAAACATGAAAGACTTACCCTTATAAAAATATTAGAAAAAAAAAACGTATCCATATAAAACTATTTTTAAAAAAAAACAACTTGCCCCAATAGCCACTAGTACACTGTCAGCCATAGACATGAAACTGTTTTGACTCAGCTCAACGCCTTTTGGATTGCCTGCGACATTTAGAGAGGAAAAATATGTTTTATTATAGGGCTGGTAAGTAGGTCACCGACCAGTTCTACGGCTCAATAAAACCTGCATGAGCCGTAGAACTGGTTGGTGACCTACTTACCAGCCCTATTACACATTTTTAAGCATAAAATACCAACATGAACAAGCTATTGTACAAAATTAAAATGGCAAATTTGTTATCATTTGGTGTCACCCCCTTCTGAAAAGTGCATTATCGTTTAAAATTAGTTGATATTATATCCCCATATTTATTTTAATTGGCAAGGTTTAATTATGTTTTAAAGTCGTGTAAGAAATGACTTAAGTGAAACGACTGCGTGAGTTAGCTCAATGGAGTTAGTTTTGTTTTAGAAAAGATACATGTTTTAAGTAAAACATGAAGTTATAAGGTACAAAATGGTTTAAGTAATGTTGTGAGAGTTGAATGCTCCAAACAGCGAAAACATGAAGTTATAAGGTACAAAATGGTTTAAATAATGTTGTGAGAGATGAATGCTCCAAACAGCGAAAACATGAAGTTATAAGGTACAAAATGGTTTAAGATTAAAAACTTTACCTGTTGTGCCGCTAGTGTAGAGAATGGTGACGATGTCACTCGGCTTGCCTGGCTAAATATGTGAAGCAGATGGGAAAATATAGAATTTGTTTTTATAAATAAATATAGGCCTATTACAATCAAATTAAAATAAAATGAAATACGTTATACATTTCTTAAAAACTTAGATGTAAGCAATATAGCGAATTTTCTAAACATTGAAAAACGAATGTAGAAGCAGTTTAAAAGTGTGAATATAATAATAACACGCTAATTAGCGCGTATATTGTTTTAGGCGGCCATGATTGGCTTTCTAGATGGGAGGGGAAAAGTCACTTTGGCTTCTAAAAACGAAGACAGCAACATAGCCAAAAAAACACACAATTACATCAATGAGATAAATTCTAAAGAATCGAGCAAATATGTCTGTAGTACTCACTGCATAGAACTTACCACAGGAGATTGTAAGTTTCTCTTTCCTATTTCCTAAACAGAAAATGTAAACAAATAAATGCGTTAAAATCGGCTAAAAAGAGTATTATATTGTGATGTAAATTATACTTACTATACGTGTATTTGATTAGTGCTAAAATTAAAAGCTGACTAAAGAATGAACTGACCAAAAACTCGTAGAACTGGATGAGTTTAACTCCAAGTTGTGCCGCGGTTGTTTTCTGTTCCTCTGTGATCGGCTCGATAACTACAATCACCTTTAGAGTCGGGACCTGGGGTTTGAGCTGGAGGAGATTGTTGAGTCGCTTGGCTTCATCCACCACCACCAGTTTCATCCCACCTACACGATAGATCCACACAATAAGTCATTACGTAATACATTTTAATGCTCAAGTTATATTACAACATTGTAATACATTCACATTTTCATTCTAATGTTCCGCCTTTAAACGATAACATGTTGGGTGATTCAGCTTTTTGTGACGACGTGGGAAGATAATTTAAATTATGTGGCGTACTCTCAGTCAGTGGCGTAGCGAGGTCGGGTGTCACCCGGTGCGGCACTTAATGGTGTCACCCCCCCAGAGGCATAGAGACCCTTCCCAGGGACAAACTTTCAAATTTTGGATTTGCACCCCCCCCCCCTCTCAAACTTTCGATTTGCACCCCCCCCTCGAGTTTTTCTCTATATATTTTGCTATTTTTGCCTTGGTGTCACCCCCCTAAATGGTGTCACCCGGTGCGGTCAGCAACCCCCGCCCCCCCCCCTCGCTACGCCCCTGCTCTCAGTTTCCTCAAGCAGGAGATATAGGGAATATACAGAAGCGCTACAACAGTAGCAGAAATTAAATTAGGAAGATTACAATTGGTCATCTGGTAAAGGCGGTGTTCAACAAAAACCAGAAAAAGAAACTAGACTTGATAGATGATGTGGGGTTAGCTTGAAATTCAGACATGATAGAACGAGACTTGAGTCAACTCTGAGTGGAATAAGGTGGCGTTAACAGGTTAAAATCACCATGGGCTGTAGAGCCACGGGGATGAGAGTAAACAAGTATCGATAAACAATTTAAGCCCAGAGTTTTTATGTTGATCCTCCTGTTTTGACGCAAATCTAATTGCTGATGAATGAAACACAACTGTTTCGTTACAAAGTCTATGGGTAGTGCTTTAGTTTGTGCATTAAGATCTGATAAGTAACACAATTGGCACTAAAACACGTGTACGCTGATTAAAAGTGTTACTTTTTTCTCCGGGGGGGGGGGGGGCACTGGATATATTCGGGGGGGGGGGCGGACACTAGTAAAAGTTTAGTTTATGTTTAGTAACTAAATTCCATCTCGTTCGGGGGGGGGGGGGGGTTAAGCCCAGGCACCTCTTTGCCCCCCCCCCCCCCCCCCAAAGAGATGCCTGGATAAAACTCTGAACACGAGACACAATGATAAATAAGAGACACACATCAGACATACGAGACACAATGACAAATAAGAGACACACATCAGACATACGAGACACAATGATAAATAAGAGACACACATCAGACATACGAGACACAATGATAAATAAGAGACACACATCAGACAAGCAAATAAACGAGAGACATACGCGAGACACTGTTAAACAAGAGACACACATGCGACACACTGATAGCCACATGAGACACTTACACTGGTTCAAGACGTAGAGACAGGTGTCCAGGGCTAGAGTGTCGTACAGCGGGACTGTGTACATGGAGAACGCCTGGCTGCCGTAGTCGCTGATCACCCACTGTGGGGGATAGAGGAGGCGATGTAAGGGGGGGTGTAGAGGTGTAAGGGTGGGGTGTAGAAGTGTAAGGGTGGGGTGTAGAGTGTAAGGGTGGGGTGTACAGTAGAGTAAGGGTGGGGTGTAGAGGTGTAGAGGTGTAAGGGTGGGGTGTAGAGTGTAAGGGTGGGGTGTACAGTAGAGTATGGGTGGGGTGTACAGTAGGGTAAAGGTGCGTTGTAGAGGTGTAAGGGTGGGGTGTAGAGGTGTAAGGGTGGGGTGTACAGTAGAGTAAGGGTGCGTTGTAGAGGTGTAAGGGTGGGGTGTACAGTAGAGTATGGGTGGGGTGTACAGTAGGGTAAAGGTGCGTTGTAGAGGTGTAAGGGTGGGGTGTAGAGGTGTAAGGGTGGGGTGTACAGTAGAGTAAGGGTGCGTTGTAGAGGTGTAAGGGTGGGGTGTACAGTAGAGTATGGGTGGGGTGTACAGTAGGGTAAAGGTGCGTTGTAGAGGTGTAAGGGTGGGGTGTAGAGGTGTAAGGGTGGGGTGTACAGTAGAGTAAAGGTGCGTTGTAGAGGTGTAAGGGTGGGGTGTAGAGGTGTAAGGGTGGGGTGTATATGTGTAAGGGTGGGGTGTAGAGGAGTAAGGGTGGTTGTACAGTAGAGTAAGGGTGGGGTGTAGAGGTGTAGAGGTGTAAAGGTGGGGTGTAGAGGTGTAAGGGTGGGGTGTACAGTAGAGTAAGGGTGCGTTGTAGAGGTGTAAGGGTGGGGTGTATATGTGTAAGGGTGGGGTGTAGATGTGTAAGGGTGGGGTGTAGATGTGTAAGGATGGGGTGTAGATGTGTAAGGGTGGGGTGTAGATGTGTAAGGGTGGGGTGTAGAGGTGTAGAGGTGTAAGGGTGGGGTGTAGAGGTGTAAGGGTGGGGTGTAGAGGTGTAAGGGTGGGGTGTAGAGGTGTAAGGGTGGTTTGTAGAAGTGTAAGGGTGGGGTGTAGAGGTGTAAGGGTGGGGTGTAGAGGTGTAAGGGTGGTTTGTAGAAGTGTAAGGGTGGGGTGTAGAGTTGTAAGGGTGGGGTGTAGAGGTGTAAGGGTGGGGTGTAGAGGTGTAAGGGTGGTTTGTACAGTAGAGTAAGGGTGGGTTGTAGAGGTGTAAGGGTGGTTTGTAGAAGTGTAAGGATGGGTTGTAGAGGTGTAAGGGTGGTTTGTAGAAGTGTAAGGATGGTGTGTAGAAGTGTAAGGGTGGGTTGTAGAAGTGTAAGGGTGGGGTGTAGAGGTGTAAGGGTGGGGTGTAGGTGTCAGTGTGGCTGAAAGTTGTTGAGGTGAGTTGTAGATTTCATAGTGCTGACCACACTATCCCTTCATATGCTCATAGAAACAAGCTAACTACTTCACCTACCCCGTGAAGTTCCAAAATGAAACTTATCTTTTACTTCCTTGTGTAGTCAACCTTCCTTGACCCAGATGTATGGGTGCTAATGATAGGGGTAACAAGGAAAGGGGGGGGGGGCACTAGCCAACAAAAACGAGTTGACTACACCACTGTATAAAGTTTCAACTTCATGCAAGTTCTAAAAAAAAGTCCTACATACCTCGGGTCTGTTTGAGCAATAAATCCCGACAAAAGATTCATTGGTGGGCGGGTAACCTTGAGCAACAACAGCAGATCCGAACTGGTGGACTTGATCTATAAACTGGACAAAAGTTGAGGCTCAATGATTGGTCTTGAATACACTGTTATGTTAACTGGACAAAAGTTGAGGCTCAATGATTGGTCTTAAACACACTGTTATGTTTTGTTTACAACTGGACAAAAGTTGAGGCTCAATGATTGGTCTTAAATACACTGTTATGTTAACTGGACAAAAGTTGAGGCTCAATGATTGGTCTTAAACACACTGTTATGTTTTGTTTACAACTGGACAAAAGTTGAGGCTCAATGATTGGTCTTAAATACACTGTTATGTTAACTGGACAAAAGTTGAGGCTCAATGATTGGTCTTAAATACACTGTTATGTTAACTGGACAAAAGTTGAGGCTCAATGATTGGTCTTAAACACACTGTTATGTTTTGTTTACAACCTTAAAGATGACGGATAAAGAACGGATTTTTTCTCTCCTAGAATGTTCTCTTATTTATATAAACAACACAAACTTAAATAACGTTTCGATTATTGATCTTTATCGCTCAGACTATAAGAATTTAGCATTATGAAGATTTGTTTTTAAATTTTGGAGACTAAGAAAAAAGGAGTATGAACGTCAAAAGATGTTGAAAACTTGCCTGTTGATATGTAATCCATTCGTACTCTCTGTTGGGTCCTGTTCTGGCACCTAAGCATGGGCCGTTATCTAGCGATCACGCAGAAAACAAATTAATTTAACATACAATTAGTAATTGATGTTCAATCCATTAAAAAAATGTGTTTACTTTTAGTTGATTAAAAATCTTTGGAAACTCAACTATGAACATGGGTTTTAGAAAATGTAAAGAAAAGTTCACGTTTCCTACACATTTGCCGCATACTTAATGTTCACAAATTATCAGTCTGATTCAAGATGGGTACTTATTAAAGCTGAGTGAGCACAGTAAATCGTAAAAAAAACAACTGATAGACGAAAACAAAAAATATTCCATTCACTAAACTTTGCTAATAATTCTAAAATTTAAAAATAAATTAAGATAAACTACAAGACAATATATCTAGTATTTGTGTTAATCGATGTACTTGTTTCGATACGCCTGTTAAAATACGATTGACAAAGTCAGTTGAAAACAAGTAGAGCATGGGTCACCTGACAATCTCCTCCCTCGTTCAAGCACGTCATAAATAACTTGACACTCAGGGGCGTAACGGTCGAAGGTCTTGTAGTCAGGGGGGTGGGAGAGCCAGGATCCTCTGTGCTCTGGCTGGTGAGGTGAGTAGAGACAAGTTAGGATTATGATAAGGCTCAATATGTCAATATATATATATATATATATATATATATATATATATATATATATATATATATATATATATATATATATATATATAATAGATATATATATATATAATACACATATATATAATACACACACACACACACATATATATATGTATATATATGTATATATATATATATATTAATAAAGTATGAGTATTTATCAGGCTGACCTTCCCGTCAATAATGACCGATTGATTGTTCAGATCGATGATCGGCTCCACTGGTTTTGTTCCCGGTATCAGGGACCAATACGACGCCGCCGCCAGTCCAGCAAGGGCCGTAACTCCAGCGGCCAGTGCTACGTTCTGGTTCTCCTTGAGGTACTTCTGTAGGGTCGCCCAGAGGTCAGTGACTCCATGGGCCATCTTGGTCGGCTACACGGGGGTGAGGGGGGGAGATTAGGATTAATGTCTTGAAATTAAGATTATGATATAATTAAATTTCATAAAGATAAGAGGTAATACGATTAATCAGCAACATAGAAAATATTCAGTCCTCAAACTGTTACTTAGTAGTTTGGCAGATGGATAAGGAACAGAGTCAAAAATGTGTAAGGTAGTCTTGCTAGGACCCCCCCCCCCCCCCCACACACACACATATCCATACACACCACATACCTTCAGTAATAGTAATGCTAATATTCTGATCTATGGGGCGGCGGGGGGGGGGGGGGGGAGGTTCGTCCATACATGACGAAACTAAGGTAAATCAAATGTTTACCTGCACTCATGCTATCGTAACAGGCCGTCACAATATATCAGACTTAAGCTCCACACCACCAAAGCACCACATCATTTAAGCCCCACACCACCAAAGCACCACATCATTTAAGCCCCACACCACCAAAGCACCACATCATTTAAGCCCCACACCACCAAAGCACCACATCATTTAAGCCCCACACCACCAAAGCACCACATCATTTAAGCCCCACACCACCAAAGCACCACATCATTTAAGCCCCACACCACCAAAGCATCACATCATTTAAGCCCCACACCACCAAAGCACCACATCATTTAAGCCCCACACCACCAAAGCCCCCACACCACCAAAGCCTCACATTACCAAATCCCCAAATTACCAAATCCCCACAACCCATAAGCCCCACACCACCAATGCCCCCACACCACCAAAGCCCCCCCCCCACACCACCAAAGCCCCCACACCACCAAAGCCCCCACACCACCAAAGCCCCCCCCCCCCCCACCAAAGCCCCCACACCACCAAATCCCCACACCCCTAAAGCCCCACACCACCAAATCCCCACATTACCAAATCCCCACAACCCCTAAGCCCCCCACCACCAAAGCCCCACACCATCAGTAACAAAAAACAAAAATTAACTTACGCTACTGTAAACTAGGACTTGGTCACGTGATTCAGATGTCACGCATCGATACAAGCTTGTGTACAACGTCTCTACATCCACTCATTGAAACCTGTCCTATGAAAGTCAGAGTGGAAAGGTGAACAACGTTGATAGTGAAACACGGGCTAGCCCAGAATACAATTGATTAGGTGGATTGGACTTTGAAATAACACAGATGTTGATTTTAGGCAGGGGCGTGGCGTTATGGGGTTAAATATATATAGAGTCGTTATGGGGTTAACGGCAGTCATTGGCGTGTAGTTATAGGGTTAACAGCAGTCATTGGCGTGTCGTTATAGGGTGAACGGCAGTCATTGGCGTGTCGTTATAGGGTTAGCAGCAGTCATTGGCGTGTCGTTGTGGAGTTAACGGCAGTCAGTGGCGTGTCGTTTTGGGGTTAACATCAATATCCAATAATAAGTTAGGATACACATTTTGACACAATGTATTTTATCGGTGACGTCACTAATGTTTATAGACACGCCCTTGATGTGTAGGGACATGCCCCTGGTGTGCATGGACACGCCCCTGGTGTGTCCCTGGTGTGTGTGGATACGTCCCTCGTGCGTGGACACGCCCCTGATGTGTATGAAAACGTCCCCTGATATGTATAGCCACGCCCTTGTTGTGTGTGAAAACCACCCTGATGTGTATGGGATCATCCTTCGTGAGACACGCCCATGTGTGTGGACACGCCCCTGATGTGCACAGGCACGCCCCTGTTGTGTCTGGACACGCACCTTTTATGTATGAACACGCCCCTGAATGTGTGGGCACATCCGTCATGAGTGTGGACACGCCCCTGACATGAATGGACTTTAAACTAAAGCGACTACGGCAGTTCAACAACCACATCAAGAAAAATAAGTCTAGTTCAGGGAGGTCAACTTAACTTTGTTATCTGAAGAAAGCTTCTCGTAAATAGTAGCACAGCAGATAACAAATCTGTTGATTGAGTGCTTGTTTTTAATGTGGTTTCAGTATTTGTTTTTATTTAAATACGTGCTTTGGGGTATGTGTCCGATGATATCACAATTAAAGCGGTGTTAGATTACTGGTAAATAACTTTATAAAATTTTAACTTGAAATATCTACACTAACCTTATTACTAACTGAAACCCTTATACAAGTCCTACCATTATAGCTGAGATTACAATACTACTCGCAGCCTAACACCCCCATTTTCGGAAGATTCTATTTGTTAGACATAGGTGATACCAATATTCTTTTATGATGTGGGTTGAACACCTTATTTATGTTGCTTTTATTTTGATTTGAGTGTTATCTTATTTCATCTATTGTTATTTATTTCGTTAATTCAGTGTTTGTTTTTATGTTGTTGTTTTTTCTCGTTATTTCAGTGTTTGTTCTCAGGTTGTTTACTATATTCTTGTCATGTGTTTAGTACGTAATATAACCGTATAAACACCCGTTGGCGATGGGAAACATTTTCTGTAGCGTGTGCACTAAGAGAAACACCGGTCACGTGAATCAGTGCGTGACGAAGTGAACTGAAGGAAGTCCTCTATACCCCCCCCCACACACACTTATATATGACATACCTTAGAGAGGGCTGTCCTCAATACGCCACAAACAGGTTTTTATTCTATCGTCCGACCGTCGTCCTTAGTTTAACACTCGTGAAATATATTTATAGTTTAATGACAGGGTACATAACTCAAGTTCATTCCTGCCAACGCGTTCACTATTCCATCAATACGGTGTTCTAAATCCACCCTAGACAACCCGTTCACTATTCCATCAATACCGTGTTCTAAATCCACATCAGACAACCCGTTCACTATTCCATCAGTACAGTGTTCTAAATCCACCCCTGACAACCCGTTCACTATTCCATCAATATGGTGTTCTAAATCCACCCTAGACAACCCGTTCACTATTCCACCAATACGGTGTTCTAAATCCACACTAGACAACCCGTTCACTATTCCATCAATACGGTGTTCTAAATCCACCCTAGACAACCCGTTCACTATTCCACCAATACGGTGTTCAAAATCCACATCAGACAACCCGTTCACTATTCCATCAATAAGGTGTTCTAAATCCACATCAGACAACCCGTTCACTATTCCATCAATACGGTGTTCTAAATCCAGCCTAGACAACCCGTTCACTATTCCATCAATACAGTGTTCTAAATCCACATCAGACAACCCGTTCACTATTCCATCAATGCAGTGTTCTAAATCCACCCTAGACAACCCGTTCACTATTCCATCAATACGGTGTTCTAAATCCACATCAGACAACCCGTTCACTATTCCATCAATGCAGTGTTCTAAATCCACCCTAGACAACCCGTTCACTATTCCATCAATACGGTGTTCTAAATCCACCCTAGACAACCCGTTCACTATTCCGTCAACACGGTGTTCTAAATCCACCCTAGACAACCCGTTCATTATTCCATCAGTGTTCTAAATCCACCCTAGACAACCCGTTCACTATTCCATCAATACCGTGTTCTAAATCCACATCAGACAACCCGTTCACTATTCCATCAGTACAGTGTTCTAAATCCACCCCTGACAACCCGTTCACTATTCCATCAATACAGTGTTCTAAATCCACATCAGACAACCCGTTCACTTTTCCATCAATGCAGTGTTCTAAATCCACATCAGACAACCCGTTCACTATTCCATCAATGCAATGTTCTAAATCCACATCAGACAACCCGTTCACTATTCCATCAATACAGTGTTCTAAATCCACATCAGACAACCCGTTCACTATTCCATCAATAGAGTGTTCTAAATCCACATCAGACAACCCGTTCACTATTCAATCAATGCAGTGCTCTAAATCCACCCCAGACAACCCGTTCACTATTCCATCAATACAGTGTTCTAAGTCCACATTAGACAACCCGTTCACTATTCCATCAATCCGGTGTTCTAAATCCACCCTAGACAACCCGTTCACTATTCCGTCAACACGGTGTTCTAAATCCACATCAGACAACCCGTTCACTATTCCATCAGTACAGTGTTCTAAATCCACCCCTGACAACCCGTTCACTATTCCATCAATACAGTGTTCTAAATCCACATCAGACAACCCGTTCACTATTCCATCAATACAGTATTCTAAATCTACATCAGACAACCCGTTCACTATTCCATCAATACAGTGTTCTAAATCCACATCAGACAACCCTTTCACTACTCCATCAATGCAGTGTTCTAAATCCACATCAGACAACCCGTTCACTATTCCATCAAAACAGTGTTCTAAATCCACATCAGACAACCCGTTCACTATTCCATCAATACGGTGTTCTAAATCCACTCCAGACAACCCGTTCACTATTCCATCAATACAGTGTTCTAAATCCACATCAGATAACCCGTTCACTATTCCATCAATGCAGTGTTCTAAATCCACATCAGACAACCCGTTCACTATTCCATCAATACAGTGTTCTAAATCCACATCAGACAACCCGTTCACTATTCCATCAATAAGGTGTTCTAAATCCACGCTAGACAACCCGTTCACTATTCCATCAATAAGGTGTTCTAAATCCACCCTAGACAACCCGTTCACTATTCCATCAAAACGATGTTCTAAATCAACCCTAGACAAACCTTTCACTATTACATCAATACGGTGTTCTAAATCCACCTCAGACAACCCGTTCACTATTCCATCAATAAGGTGTTCTAAATCCACCCTAGACAACCCGTTCACTATTCCATCAATACAGTGTTCTAAATCCACCCTAGACAACCCGTTCACTATTCCAACAATACAGTGTTCTAAATCCACCCTAGCCAACCCGTTCACTATTCCACCAATACAGTGTTCTAAATCCACCCTAGACAACCCGTTCACTATTCCATCAATACGGTGTTCTAAATCCACCCTAGACAACCCGTTCACTATTCCATCAATACGGTGTTCTAAATCCACCCTAGACAACCCGTTCACTATTCCGTCAATACGGTGTTCTAAATCCACATCAGACAACCCGTTCACTATTCCATCAATACGGTGTTCTAAATCCACCCTAGACAACCCGTTCACTATTCCATCAATACGGTGTTCTAAATCCACACTAGACAACCCGTTCACTATTCCATCAATACGGTGTTCTAAATCCACCCTAGACAACCCGTTCACTATTCCATCAATACGGTGTTCTAAATCCACCCTAGACAACCCGTTCACTATTCCGTCAATACGGTGTTCTAAATCCACCCTAGACAACCCGTTCACTATTCCATCAATACAGTGTTCTAAATCCACCCTAGACAACCCGTTCACTATTCCATCAATACAGTGTTCTAAATCCACCCTAGCCAACCCGTTCACTATTCCATCAATACGGTGTTCTAAATCCACCCTAGCCAACCCGTTCACTATTCCATCAATACAGTGTTCTAAATCCACCCTAGACAACCCGTTCACTATTCCATCAACACGGTGTTCTAAATCCACCCTAGACAACCCGTTTACTATTCCATCATTACGGTATTCTAAATCCACATCAGACAACCCGTTCACTATTCCATCAATACGGTGTTCTAAATCCACCCGGACAACCCGTTCACTATTCCACCAATACAGTGTTCTAAATCCACCCTAGCCAACCCGTTCACTATTCCATCAATACGGTGTTCTAAATCCACCCTACACAACCCGTTCACTATTCCATCAAAAATTTACCCCACACAACCACATACCTCAAACAGGTTTCAAGGTGTGGATTCTTCTTTGTCTCAAAACAATGCATACACACAACTATTTAACTAATTCTACATAGGCTTATAGATAACTCAGCACTGAAATATATCAATCTATATTTCGTATTACGAACACATATAATATCTAGAGTTGAGTTAGGATCTGGGTTAAGTTTTTATAGAGATTTTGTTTTATATTGTTAATGTAATTACGATCAAGTCATACTGGCCTTAAGGCCGAGTTCATACAACAGGTAAAATACAGCTTATTAACATTTTATATAACATTCATTTAGTATAGTATAGAATAGCTAAGCATGGCAAGGTAAGGCACAGAACATATATGTAAGTATATATATATATATATATATATATATATATATATATATATATATATATATATATATATATATATATATAGTGTGTGTACATTATATACTGATGTATTTACTTCTGCCTCTCGCAACTTAGCCACGCCTCTGAATGCTGCAAACAAAATACTATGTCTCTAGCTCATACTCCCCTCGTGACAATAAATTATTCGGCTAATTAACAAATAACAATATACCACGTGACCACGAGCTATTCAGTCACCACCAAAGGTGTGTTACACGCGAGCTGTACCAACCAAATTCAGCTAACAGCTGTGTTAGGGGACTTTCCAACACAGTCATCTCCCTTAGACAAAATAATACAATGTCCGTGTTGTAAAAAAACAGGAATGATCCGTCTAAGAATTTGTGTAGTGAATCAGTGTCAGCATAATGTAGAAGGTTATGCATAATCACAAATACGCTAATTCCCTGAGCCAAGTTGACCTATCTTCAAGTAGTCATAAGCACAGATAATTATTACTATACAAACGTAATGTTTTTAACAGCAAAAGAGAATCAACGAAAAGACACCTTATTTTTATTTTTAATGCACATTTGTTCAGACGGGCGTATCTATAAATGTCCAGTGATGTGGGTTAATGGGTTAGTTTTTAACGCAACAGGTATGCGTGAAATGGGTTAATAAAAAACTGCGTTAAAATAGGATTGTTTTTGTGTGATTTATCATATTTCGAGAGTCACAAATACAGTGGACTTGCATATGTTTATTATCCCCCTTATTTGGTTATCTTTCAAAAATGTATCGTTGTTTTTAAAAAAAAGTCTAGTGACAATTTAAGCGCAATTTCCTTATGTTATCTAAAAATAGATAGTGATCACAAAGACGTATAATGCTGGGGTGCGTTCAAGCTAGGAGAACGATCGGTTTGTAGGTGTTTATGTAATTTTAAAAAAAAATTTGTGACCGAACGAAAGGATATTTTTGAAAACTTTCTTCGGCAATATTGTTCTAATTTATGGCAGGAATCGATTGGTAAATGTTTCAAGTCGCTAAGTGGTCTGGTTGCCGAGATATGGGCCAAGATATGCATTTTTTCGAGGTTTTTTTGGCTTTTCCTGGAAATCCAGGAAGGAATTCCGGGAATTTTTTTTGGCCCACAATCATCCTCGGAACTTGCTTAACATATTTGCTTTTGGAACTAGTCCTCGATATTGCTTCGTTGAGGAGGAGATACGACTTAAAGCTGCGGACACACATCGGACACACATCCTTGACGAGTTAATAATCGCAATTGTCCGTATGGAAATTGCGCTAAAAATGTAAACAAATATTTAGTTTCACTGAACTTTATAGGAATGTATTAACATAAACCTTTAAACGACCATTGTGTGTTAAATATGAGGCTATATAACGACTAAAGCTTCACGATTCTTCAATCAATCGGTGACATCGATGATACACATTAATCTAAACATAGCAAGGATTATCTCTGTAAATTATAATCTTAATCCTAACCCTAGCCCTTGCACGGATAGTTTAGCTGGAATTATCTAAACAGGTAAGTAATGTCTAATTACATGCACAGGTAAGTAATGTCTAATTACATACACATGGAAGTAATGTCTAATTACATGCACAGGGAAGTAATGTCTAATTACATGCACAGGGAAGTAATGTCTAATTACATGCACAGGTAAGTAATGTCTAATTACATGCACATAGGTAAGTAATGTCTAATTACATGGCGTACATAAGAAAGTACCTTCTAATTACATGCACAGGAAATTACCGTCTAATTACAGGGCTTTCAATGGAAAGTACCGTATGCTTATATAGGAGAGTACCGTCTAATTACAAGCCTACATAGGAAAGTACCTTATACCGTCTAATTACAGACACAGGAATCTACTGTCTTATCACACTGCTTATCACACTAAACACAAGAAAAAAATTACTTACACTTTTTATAAAGGTCGCCGACTGTGAACTAGCTAATCTTCGCAATAATCCAGTTTTAAAAATGTGCAGGAAAATATGTGACCGTTCGAGATGAAACCTCTCCCCTACCCTCCCCACAAGCCTCTCCCCCTACCCACCCCACCGCTGCCTGTCTTACTGTAGCTGTAGGCTGTTTACTATCGTAGGTCAAGGTTTTCTGTTATGCTCGCCATACAACAACACACCACGCCATCTAGGCCATAGTTCAAGTCACGCTTTCAGCCCGTCAACCCATGTGACTGCGGCATGACTGAATCCCAGTCAACAGAAGAAATGACTGACGAAGCATCTTACGCAGAGTTTCTTCCAGGCATCTCTTCGGGGGGGGGCGAAGCCCCCCCGAAAAATTTTTACCGCCCCCCCGAACGAAATGAAATTTATATAATTTATATAGAAAATATATACTTTTAACAGTGTCCGCCCCCCCGAAGAAAGTCTACCGCCCCCCCGAACATTTCGAGTGCCCCCCCGGAGAAAAAAGTCTGGAAGAAACACTGATCTTACGGAATGGGAGCCACAGAAATGCACACATATTCTGTCACAGACAAAATTTGTCACAAAAAAAAAACAACAACAACACAATATAATAACTTCAGAGTCATTTCTTTTGTAGGAATAAAACCACAGCAGCAATATCTTATAACAAAAAAAAACATAATTACAATATATTATGTAAACATAAAACCATTACAGTAATAACTTATAACAAAAATAAAACCATAATTACAATATATATGATGTAAATATAAAACCATAATAATATCTTATGTAAATATAAAACCATAAAAGTATATATTATGTAAATATAAAACCATAACAGTAATATTTTATGTACATATAATGCCATAACAGTATATCTTATGTAAATGTAAAGCCATTACATGAATACAGAACATTGTAAAAGCTAACAGTTGTTCCAGAAGATACTTTAAAGACACTGGGTCAAAAGACGTGCCAGACCACGTGACCAGAGTCAAGTTTCAGTGTGCTGCCAAGTTTGAGTAATGTGACAAGTTTCACTGGAGCGAAAACTGCACATCTCTAACCAGAACAAGAACTTGTGTGAGCACAAAATCTCAGCTCAACTTCTAAGCACCAAGCATTAGAAACCGTATCTCAATTTATCCCCCATGTAGAGCAATCTATTCAAGAACATGAGCACGTCAACATTTATATTTGCTTTTGTTCATTTTTTTTTTAATCTTGGTTGTGCTTGTTGTAACTTTTTTTTGTTTGTTGTAAAGAACGGTAATGCTAATGATGATTAAAACTGCACCAAACACCATTTTGTCCCACGAAGCAGAGGCATAGTAAGCCTTACCGGCGCCCGGGGACAAACTTTCAATTTGGCGCCCCCCCCCATATATATTTTTTAATATTCATAATGCAAAACTGCAGCTAAAATGAGCTTTTAATTTTTTTTCCAACCCACTTTGGCGCCCCCTAGGATCGGCGCCCGAGGACATATGTACCCCCCCGCCCCCCTCGCTACGCCTCTGCCACGATGTTACCCACACAGCACTTTACCAAACGAAGCCTTTGATATAAAAATAGATATGTTAAAAGCTGTTGCTTCCGATGTAGTACAGCATTGATGCAAAGCTTTAGTGAACAGCACCCACATAATGGCGTCAAACAGAAATACTCCAGCCCACAAATAAGTCTTGAAACAAGTTTGAGCTCTCCCGAATATTAAAGCTCATCGGGTTTGTAAATGCTGGTACCAAGTACAACACAATTATCAGTTTCTGAACAAGTGTCAATTTAGCAGACACAAATATCAGAGATGCACATAGACCAGAGGCGTAGCGACCCTTCCCGGCGCCGGGGACAAACTTTCTCGATTTGCACCCCCTCCCCTCAAACTTTCGATTTGCACCCCCTCCCCTCAAACTTTCGATTTGCACCCCCTCCCCTCAAACTTTCGATTTGCACCCCCTCCCCTCAAACTTTCGATTTGCACCCCCCCTCAAACTTTCAATTTGTTTTTCCAACCCACTTTGGCGCCCCCTGAGGTCGACGCCCGGGGATATGTGCCCCCCCCCCGCCGTCCCCCCCCCCCCGCCCCCCCGCCCTCCCCCCTCGCTACGCCTCTGACATAGACCATCGTCGCTAGATAAATCACTCCACCAAATCTCATTACTAAAACGTCTGCATTATATTTTACTATTGACAATGCTACTATTATTTTGCTTATGTTCTTATTGTTAATTTTTTCCCGCCTCATACATGTAATTTACAGCGTCAGTTTGCCTTGCATGTTCGCTTTAGTACTTAAATTTTCATCATCGGCTTGTTAGGGCTGATCCAGTAATAATTCTTTCTTTCTTGTAGCCTCCTTTCATTCATTTAAGATGGTTTACTTATACATAGATCTAATACAAAACCTATAACTATGTCTCACCAAATCAATATTTATTTCGATCTCAATATTTACATAAAATTAAATTAAAAAATTAAAGTGTGGCATCACAATTATTTTCCACATTAAAATTCACTTTAATTTAAATTTAGATTTCTATAAATTAAGTATTTAAACTGCTTGTGACGTAAAATAAATTCGCCTAGCAACTAAATACGCAGCGAATGACAAAATGATACAAACTCACCGACTTACTGTCTTGTCATTAAACACAGTTATTTCCCTTGGTTAGAGTTTAGCATGAAATGGAGGACACACAGCATGCTTGTGTTTTACAAGTAAAGAGAGGTCAGTGCAATCAGCCGGTGCACGTACTGAATGACTTGCTGCACTAATGTGGCCGCACTAATGTTTGACTGCACGGACAGACGGACAGACAGCTAGACGGACAGACTTTTAGACAGACTGACGGACGGACAGAATGACGGACGGACGGACAGACGGACGGACGTACAGACAGACAGACCGACAGAACAGACAGCACATCATTGTTTTTTTTAATTATTTTTATTGACCGTTATATTATAGCATGATGGAATACCTTTACTACGCCTCTGAATGTAGATTTTTTTTTAAACTTGCAACAACAGATAAGTGTCCTTTTAATTAGGCCGCCATGACAGTTATAGTATTGTATCGGTGGGTCCATATTTGACCGTAAGCGCCGTGCACTGGTAGGAATGGGGTTAAGATTAGGATTAAGGTCTTGTCTAGGCTCTGGAATACCTGTAAGATTAGAGTTAGCTCTGGGGCTAAGGTAACCTCTGGGTCTGGGGTAGCGATACAATAAAAAAAACTTAGTTCCGAATACGCCGTGCCGCCGGTTTTGTACCGATAGTGTATTTATATCGAGACCACGTGACATGCGCTATCTTTAGAATCACATGATACTAGCAGATAAGGGTCTGCACGGCTGAGGCTACTGTATGTTGGACAACGCTACACAAAATGGCGCAGAGTACGGGCTGAGAGAGACAGTGATGGTATATCTCAAGACAGGTGGCGCTAGACTTGCAGGGGATTGGTGGCACTAAAACAGGGATAAGGTGATGAGGTCAGGGTCACCATCACCAGACCGACGTTAAAATGGAACCCCTGTTTAGGAGAGCTAGGGCACACAAAGACAGGTCACACATAGATCGATTTTGGAATGATAGGCTAGGACAATTCTCTAGAGAGCTGTAGTTGGTGGCCCATACTCCAATAGGACAGAGAACTCTGGAGAGCTGTAGTTGGTAGCCCATACTCCAGTAGAACTCTAGAGAGCTGTAGTTTGCGGACCATACTCCAGCAGGACAGAGAACTCTGGAGAGCTGTAGTTGGTAGCCCATACTCCAGCAGGACAGAGAACTCTGGAGAGCTGTAGTTGGTAGCCCATACTCCAGCAGGACAGAGAACTCTGGAGAGCTGTAGTTGGTGGGCTATACTTCAGTAGAACTCTAGAGAGCTGTAGTTGTTGGCCCATACTCCAGCAGGACAGAGAACTCTGGAGAGTTGTAGTTGGTGGGCCATACTTCAGTAGAACTCTAGAGAGCTGTAGTTGGCGGGCCATACTCCAGCAGGACAGAGAACTCTGGAGAGTTGTAGTTGGTGGGCCATACTTCAGTAGAACTCTAGAGAACTGTAGTTGGCGGCCCATACTCCAGCAGGACAGAGAACTCTAGAGAGCTGTAGTTGGTAGCCCATACTCCAGCAGGACAGAGAACTCTGGAGAGCTGTAGTTGGTAGCCCATACTCCAGCAGGACAGAGAACTCTGGAGAGCTGTAGTTGGTGGGCTATACTTCAGTAGAACTCTAGAGAGCTGTAGTTGTTGGCCCATACTCCAGCAGGACAGAGAACTCTGGAGAGTTGTAGTTGGTGGGCCATACTTCAGTAGAACTCTAGAGAGCTGTAGTTGGCGGGCCATACTCCAGCAGGACAGAGAACTCTGGAGAGTTGTAGTTGGTGGGCCATACTTCAGTAGAACTCTAGAGAACTGTAGTTGGCGGCCCATACTCCAGCAGGACAGAGAACTCTAGAGAGCTGTAGTTGGTGGCCCATACTTCAGCAGTAATGACCCCACAGGATATCTAATATATAAAGCTCAGTTCTGTATGTAATGCATATGTTTGTCGTTGGAATTGGATGCATTTAAGTGTTAGAAAATTATCGTGCGCATTTGTCTAAATTTATGAGCTAAAAAATTACTATTGAAAGTGTTGGCAAATAATATTCATTTTTCAAATTATAGTAACAATTGTCGGCATGTTCATTAAACACAAGTTTTAAAAAAATATCATCTTTTACAAAAATTCTAATTATGTCTTTATTTAGTCCTATAGCACTTACTTCCCTTTGATAAATTAGGAAAACACAATTACTTCCCTTTATAAAACCATTGCATTAGTCGAAAATAATTTACTTTTTAATTACTTTGTTTTGGTGTTGGGAAAAAAAATAATTACATAATTAGCGGGGATTGATCAAGTGCAAATGTTGTAGGTATTTTACGGATAAGCTTGGAGTATTAAAATTGTTCATTAAATTGAAACAGGCGCGTTCGTTTAAGTGAGTGCAAAAGACTATGAATAAGTTGGGGTACTATAGTCGTTCATTAAGCTAAAACAGGTGATTCCGCCCCAGGCGTTTATGTTCGCGTTAGTGTTT